GCTGATGCAGAACTCAGACTAAAGGAGGCGAAAAGAATGTTTCACAAATGACAGAGTTCAAGCATTAGACAATAATGAAAAGGTCAGGCAACTGTATTGATTAGAACGGGACATGAGGAAACTATATAGTGAGGGAAATGTTCTATATCTTATTAGGGTAGTGGTTTTATATACATACATATATGTATATGAGTTAAATACACATAACTGTATACTTTCGATCCATGCATTTTACTGTTTGTAATTAAAGACAGAATCATACACACACACACAAAGATACATATATTCTTTTGAATTATAGGCAAACTGGTCCTCAAAGGCTGAAAAGGCAGAAAAGATACCAACTAGATACTATATGACAATTTAAATTAAGCAATATAAACCTAATCCATTGCTTTTCTCTTAATTCATCTCTGGATTGTTTCATTATAAGAAAACTATATTCCTAATTATGATAATTCATAATTCAACCTGTTCATCTATCCAAGATGATGAAGATCTTAACTTTAACTTAATTTGTCAAATTCCATGAATTTGAGAATTCTGTAAATTATTGGGAAATTTTAATAAAAATCTAGGATTTTGCATTCATTCCCAATTTTAATTTCTTAGTCCAATTAAAACTAAAAGTGAAAATAGATGAATTATTGGTGTTGAACACATCATAGGCACAAATGAACACAAGGAGACTTCTGGGGTAATAAATGTGTTCATTATCTTGATTGTGGTATTGTAGTGATCATTTCTTGGGTACATTTATATGTAAAACTTACCAAACCATACACTGTAAATTTATGCACTTTAATGTATATCAATTGTAACTTTAAAAAGTACATATACAATGTACAAATGAATATATACACATACAACCAACAAGTCTGCTAAAACTAGTAAGACTAACAAAACCAAATTTTGTAAGAATATAGAGCAACCATAATTTCATACATTGTTGGCAGGAATGCAAAAAGGTACAAACACTTTGGAAAAGGTTTGGCAATTTCTTATAAAATTAAGCATACATTAGTTCATGACCAAGTAATTCCATTCCTAATTATTTACTCAAGAAAAGTGAATACATAGAAGATTGTTCAAGAGAGTTCTTAACAGTTTTTTTCATAACAACTAAAAACTGGAAACAGCTCAGGTGTCCATCAGCTGGAGGATAGATAAACAAAATGCAGCATCTAAATAATGGAATAACTACCAGCAATAAAAAGGAACAAACTACTTATGCAATCAATAACACAGATGAGACTCAAAATATTATGCTAAGTGAAACAAGCCTTACACAGAGTGCACATGTATGATCCTATTTATATAAAAAAGCAAAACTAATCTATGATATAAAAAAGCAGAACAGTGATTGCCTCTTGGGGGTGGTGGGAAGAGCAGGAAGAAACAGAATTGACCTCTTCTAGAGTGATGATAATGTTCTGTATCTTGAAAGGGTTTATTTGGCTTACACAGAGGTCAAAGCTCACGGAATGGTGGGTATACTTAAGATTCGTGCATGTCATTGTAAATTTTACTTCAAAATGAAAAAAAGAATTGTAAATAAACACTGACTAGCTAATGACACACATGCTCAAGTGTTTGGGGATAGGATATATTAATGTCTGCTACTTTAAAATGCAACAAAACATGGCTTGATGGATGGACAGATAAGTGATAAAGCCATGTATAATGACACGTTAAAAGAATCTAGGTGGTGGGTATATGGGTATTCATTGTACAATTCTTCCAACTCTTCTAGATGTTTGAAAAGATTCATAAGAAGATCCTGGGGAAAAAATCAGTTTGTAAGACAGTAGTGATTCCATTTTTTGCACATTTATTTATGTCTGTGTATTCATGGACCAGTATATATGAAATATATGCATACATATGTTTATGTATGTTGTACATTCAACTGCTCCCTCTCAATCAGATAGATCCTTCCAATTCACTTAAAAAAATACTCAAGTTCCTCCTCTTTCCAAATGATACAAACAAACAAAAAAGAAACTTCCTCAAAATTCTATCTTCCTTCAGCTACTAGTAGGTCACTTTTGTTCCTTTCAAAGCCACCATTCTTAAAGAGGTAAGCATACTTCCCATGTCTATATGCCTTCACCTACTTCATCTGGCTTGTGCCCCCCGCCCCGAATTCCAGCAAAATAGCTCTTGTTCAAGATACCAATAATTTCCAGTGTCACTAGATCAAATGCACATTTTAAAATCCTCATCCCTTGAAGAATGTAAAATATTGAGCTGACATTTTTAAATCTGAAATGACGGAAACAAACTTTATTTTGTACGTAAACCAAACTTAAAAAAAAAAAAAGTTCAATTTCATATTATGGTCAAGTCAGAATGTGAGAAGGGGAAAACTTAAGGGATGTTATCAGAAAAAAGGAAAAAAATGAATAAGATTATACTACAGTCCAAATGGTAAATGCCAATGGTAATAAATGCCAACAGTCAATTTTCATAGACCATTTTCACCTAATTCTACTGTACTTTGAAATTCTACTAAACTCATTAACTATTGTCCACATTTCTTCAACTGGTTTAGTCATTGTATTTATAGAAGCTCCACCTTAAATGGATCTCCCAAACCTCCTATTCATGTAGAAATTATTCTCTGAGCTATAAGAATAATAACCAGGGATGTAGGTCTCCAAGGATCAGAAAAATCCAGCTAAGTATCAAAACTAGTATAGAAACTATGTCCTAATCTTCAGAAGATAAGCCCTCAAGACTTTCAAAGCACATTCAAAACACAATTGAAAGCCTTCCAAGGATTTCAGTGTGTCAGGTAATATAAAATTGTGCAGTAAAATCACTTTAAAAAATACATCATAAAATAAAGGAAATTTCTTTATAACATGGACTTCAGAGATGAAAGCTAAATTTGAACCTAAAACATGCATAAGAATTTGAATTCTATATGGTAGTTTTAATGGGAGGAGATTCCCAACTAGTTCCCAAAAAGGTCGCTTTTAGTAGCACGCTCATGTTTCTGATTTTGCAGATTAGCAGGCATTGGCTAGTCAAAGAAGTGTGGGAAAAGACATTCTAGCATGGGCAAAAACAATAAAACTGTATGTAAAGATAGTCATATTAGTTATTTATAGTTATAGTTACTTATTTTCCTCTAGTATTCATCCGTATACCTTGGTCACAGATGATAGTTTCCTAAAGGCTCCTTTCTTTATTCTTGCCACCTATTATCCCAAGAAAGTAAATCTGTTTATTCCATAAGCAATTATTTAGCACCTTCAATGTGCAAACCTAGAACTATGTGCATTGCCTGGACTTAAAGGGACAAACAGTATGGCTAATGGTGATACACTATGATTACTGAAGGACTTAGTTTTACTCTAGCTTTTTACATCAGAGCTGTATACATAATTGCATTATTAGGCTATTTTTTAAAGATTTTATTTATTTATTTGAGAGAGTAAGAGAGAGAGAGCGAGAGAGAGAGCACCCACACGTGAGCAGGGGGAGGGGCAGAGAGAGAAGGAGAGGGAGAGAGAGAATCCGAAGCAGACTCTGAGCTGGGCGCAGAGCCCGATGTGGGGCTCGATCTCACGACCCTGAGATCATGACCTGAGCCAAAACCAAGAGTATGATCCTTAACCCACTGAGCCACCCAGGCACCCCCAGACTATTTTTAAATGTTGAAATTAGTTTTTCACTTGTCTTTGAGTTCCACTCACAATGGAGGTGTCATGAAGAATAAAATTATAATGGTATAATTCAATTATAATGAAGGAAACACAGAAGGATTTAATCAGAAACTAGACAAACACTCCTGAAAAACTAGAGTAATTGTATAGTATAAAGTCTAGCTTCAGAACTCTAATCTTTTTAGATCACAAACCTTTGTGATAAGCAGCTTCTAACAGGGCTCCCAATAATCCCCACCTGCTGGTACCCACAGCCCTATTTAATCTTCCCGCTTGAGTAAGAGCTGAACCTAGCAACTTGCTTCTAAAGAAGCAAATATGGCAAAAGTGAAGGGCTGTCTCTTCTGTGATTAGGTTACAAAAGACCATGAGTTCCCTCTTACTCATGCTCTCTCTTGCCCTCTGACTTGCTCTCCCTGAAGAAGCATGCTGCCATGTTATAAGAAACTCCAGTAAGAGGCCCATGTAGCAAGGAACCAAGGGAGCCCTTCACCAATAAATAGCTCATGAGAAACTGAGGCCTCAGTCTAACATCCCACAAGGACCTGAATCCTGCCAACAACCCCATGGCCATGAAGGGAATCCGCCCTAGTCCAACCTTGAGAGGACTGCTGCCTTGTGAGAGGCGGAGCCAGAAGACCCAGCTAAACTGCACCTGGATTCCTGACCCACAGAAACTGTAATATGATAAATGCATACTCTTGTAAGCTGCTAAATTTTGGAGTAATTTGTTATACAGCAATAGATAACTAACATACACTCCCTCTGAAAAAAGCATGTAAGTATACAAATTCTGGCACCCATTTTAGGGAAATAGGAAGCCTCTCTGAAGTCCATCAGTGGAATTCCTAGTGGTCCAGGGATCCCAGATTAAGAAACTTCTGATATGATAAACTCTAAACAATATACACAAAAAGCCTGCAAGAAATCAATTTAACCATGTTATGTAGCTTAACAAATGTCAGAACACTTTCCTTCCATACAGTATTGCTAAGAAAGTTAAACTACTTTAAATATAATTGATATCTTAGTACTAGTATTACCAAAGGTAAAATCAAGCCAAGTTATACCAAAACATTATTTTGAATAACATATTTCACAAATACTAAATAAGTACTGAGGATAAAATAATGACTACACACCATCCTAATTTTGAGGACTTTCCTGGCCAGTGGGTAAGAAACACACACACACACACACACACACACACAAAATAGCTACCATAAGAGTTGGGAGTACAAATAGAGATTTGTATATGGTATCCATTCATGTACATAATAAAATGACTTTAATGAATTTTAGTTATAATGCAATTAGCAGAAATACCTGTACTGTTTTTCCAAGTCCCATGTCATCACCAAGAATACATCCGTTTCTTTGGATGAAGTGTGCATAGAGAAACTGGGCTCCTTCCCTTTGGTAGTCTCTCAAATACCTGTTAATAGTATAAGGAATAGAGACTCCATCTTCAGATAACGGAAAAGCAACAGCAGATGATGGAAATTTTCGGTCTGGGAAATAGGGTTTTTCCAAATCTTCATCATCAAATATAAAATTCCTGGAGCAATCTTTACGAGATTTTACTTCTTGAAGTCTTTTAAGAGGTACTTTTCTTTCTTGAAAATCTGAATATAAGATGATTGCAAATGACTTCCCATTTTCATCCACTGTGATAGATTTTATGCTTGCTTCACAAAGTGTCCCATTATCTGGAGAAGGGGCAAGACATCTTTCTCCTGGATGCCATATGTCTGTAAAAATAAAGAAGAAAATAATATTTCCAAATCTAACTTATAAAGCAACCCCCCATTTATCCACTGCTATGAGAAAAAAAAATGTACCTCACACGAATACCCTTTCCAAATTGCTGAAACAAGCTAAATTATAACATGTATAGATATTCTCCTAAAACATATTATCAGATGTTCTCCTATAATAAGCAGAATAAAGGATATATAATTTATTTCCAGTGGTTCTCACCCTGGCTGTGTGTCATAATCTCATACATGCTTGGACACTACCTCTGTTGACTGTGGTTCAGTGGCTATGGGCCGTGGGCATCTGGTTGTATGACTTTGTTTGGTGGACATTGTTGAATTCAAAGGGCCATTCTGATTCACAGCCAGGGTTGAGAACCACTGATTTAGATATTCATGATGATTCGTGAACGTTATGTATATTATTCATGATATGGTAGACTAATAGTAAATGGGACTTGATAATAAGTAAGCTAAAATCCTCTAGACAGCAATGCTTTTGTGATTCTGTCTGCTTTTTCCCATCTCCTTTCTCTGGAGACAGCTGTTACTTCTTGTCAACATTGCTGCTTCTTTTTTAAAAAATTTTTTTAATTTATTTTTTATTTTTTTCTAGTATTGCTGCTTCTAAACTGTTCCCCAAATTTGTATACAACTAACCAAGGGAATCTCTAATTCAACCACAGAGTGATGTGTGCCAGCTCTGTCACAGCTTTTCTCCCTTCTATGTTTTAAAGGGTTGCAGTTCTTTAAAAAGAGATGAATTCTAAGATCTCTTTTATGCTAAGATTCTATTGTTCTTTGAAAAGTCTGACCCCTTTCTCTATATGTATTTATTCTGTGCTTAATTGTACAGCTTTCTACTTTATTTTCTTTTTTTTTTTAAAGATTTTATTTATTTATTTGACAGCAAGTGAGAGAGCACAAGCAGGGGAGCAGCAGAGGGAGAGGGAGAAGCAGGCCCCCCACTGAGCAGGGAGCCTGAGGTGGGACTCGATCCCAGGACCCTGGGATTATGACCTGAGCCGAAGGCAGAAGCTTAACCCACTGAGCCACGCAGGCGTCCCGTCTATTTTATTTTCTATTCAGGAAATATAGCACTATGAATAGGGAGGGGAGTATCTTTAGAGCATACAACTAGTATAATTAAAAAATACCAAATAGAGGAAATTAAGTAAAAATAATTTTCTAAATGGAATTTCTTATAGCAAGAATTACAGAGGAGTTGTATGGCTACAGATTTAAGAATACTAGGAATTATTTTTCTCACATATTTCATATTGAGATCAGATGACCATTAGTAGTTTCTTAGGGTTTTTCCGATGATTTCTTGTTAGGTTTTTATAACATTTGTGATTATAATATGACTAGTATATCTACATTCTCTTAAGCACGAATAACTCATTATGCTATTCCTCAAAAGTAAAACCATTATTCCCACTAACTTTGGTAAGGTTATTTTGCATAACAATTAGAAGTACACCAAGAAAAATCTGTTCTCCTACCCTAATCTTTGGATCCAAACTGTTTGAGAACTGTCACACAATTCTAAAAGACAGTTTTAACATGAACCTAAAACCTTGATCCATTGAACAGGGATAACAGATTAGTGGGCCCTATTTTTGTAACAGTACTTGAGCCTTAAGACCTGAATTAACCCTTAGAGCAATTCTTAACGCATTATTTCTGTTTCACATGATTTGTTTGCCTATCCAGAAAATGCCTTCCAATTTTTAAAGACTTAAGTCATTAATGTGTTTATTATTCAACATATACATTTTAACACCAATTACCTACCAAATACACTGTACCACACAATAGGTATAAAATGAAAAAAACAATGTCAAAAATTATAATGATTAAACCTTGCTCTTTCCAAACCTCATTAAATCTTTCCAAATCTCATTAAATGGCATCATCATCTAGCCAACTTTTCATGATAGAACACATTTAGCCAGCCCTTATTCCTCTTTTTATATTACTCCCTACATCCAAACCATCAGAAAGTCCTGCTGGTTCTCCCTCAAAATCTATCACTTCCCTCCATCATGTTACCGCCTCTGTAAAACAACTGTTGGCAAACTTTTTTGGTAAAGAGTCAGATTTGGACTACTTATTATTTTAGTTTTGCAGGCTATACTGTCTCTTACCCTTGTAACACGAAATCAGGGACAGAGAACACATAAACAAATGGGCATGGCTGTGTTCCAATAAAACTTTACCTACAATAACTATCAGGCTGGATTTGGCCAGGCCCATAGTTTGCTGTCCTCTGCCACCTTTAGCTTTCTCCTAAATTACTGCTATAAACTCCTAACCATTCTCTCTGCTGCCACCATTTTCCCCCTACAATCCATTTTACACATAGCAACCATACTATTTAAAAATATAAATTACTGGGGCGTCTGGGTGGCTCAGGCAGTTAAGCATCCAACTCTTGATTTCGGCTCAGGTCATGATCTCTGGGTCCTGGCATCCAGCCCCGTGTCAGGCTCCATGCTCAGTGGGTATATGCTTGAGGATTCTCTTCCCCTCTCTCTACCCCTCCCCCTGCTTGCATGCTCTCTCTCTAAAATAAATAATCTTTTAAAAAAATTAAAAATTAGTAAATTTAAAATTAGTAAATTTAAAAATTTTCAATAGTTATCATTGCATAAAGTACAAACTCTTTAGTATGGCCTGTAAGTCCCAGTATGATCTGCCAATACTTACCTCACCAACCCAATCTCCATTTTTCTCTGTACTCAAACATGCTAAGCAAGTCTTCTCTCAGCTGTTTTTATGTCATCTCTTCACCTTATTTAAAGTAGGGTACCCTTTTATTCTGTATCTCAGTATTTTATTGCCTCCATAACTCGTATCACAATGTTCAATGACTATGTTTATTTGTTTTTATCTATCTTTCCCACTAGAGAGTAATTTCCTTTCCAGGAAAGTGTCTGTATTTTTCAAGTTTTATCCCCAGCATTGGCACTCAGTAGGCACTCAATAAATGTGCTGAATTTATTACAAAAACACATCCTAGATATCTAGTGAGGGAGACAGATACTAAAAAGTTCACAAACACGAAATTGTAGCAAGTGCTGCAGGAGATAAGAACAAAGTGCTATGAAAAAGAGTATTGAAGAAGCATAATTTAAAAGGGAAGAAGATCTAAGAAGAGTATCTCTGAGCACACAGCATGTGCAAAAGCCCTATGGGCTTCATACAACAATTTCTGGAAATCTATTTGGTTCCTTAGTTTGAATAATTTCTAGAACTAAACAGATTCAGTTAAGTTTGAGCAAAGGCTGGAATCTCTCTGTATCAAATTCTAGAACAAATAGCTTAAATTGGGAGGATTTCCTGTAGGGTTGAATGAACCCTCTTTAACGTCCTTTCCTTTCCTCCTTTATGCCAGACTGGTCTCCTTGCTGTTCCTCAACTATGGCAAGCATGCTCCCACCTCAGGGCCCCTGAGATTTCTATTCCTTCCATCAACGCTCTCCCTAAATACCCAAATGACTGATTCTTTCATTTCATTTAGGTCTCTGCTCCAATGGCATCTCCTCAGAGGTGTTTTCTCTGACCACTGAATCTAAAATAGCACTCCCTGCCACTCTTTCTTTACCCTGCTTAATTCCATTTTTAGAGAAAAATATGGAATATTTGTTATTGTTTATCTCAACTTAGTTCCCTAGAGCAGGGACTTACTTTGTTCACTACTATATGCTGAGCACCTAGAACAATGTTTGAAACTCAAATACTTGTAGAACTAACAAATATTTATACAGAGCTAACATTTGAAGACTTATGTGTGCCAGGCACGTGCTTTATTTCATTTAAGCCTCACCACTATCCTTTCATGACTTCATGTAAGTAATATTGTTAGTTCCATTTTATAAATGGTGAAACAGATAAAGGTTAACCAACTTGCCCTTGGTTACACAGCTTAAAAATGGCAGATCCCGGATTTGACCCAAGCTATCTGACCTTGTAACTACCATACTGTACCATGCACACATGAATGAACAAGTCCCTGGAACTGAGTAGTCCCTGCTCCTTTTAACTGAGGTCTGAGCACCACAGTCACTACAATCTCCACTCAGCAGCTTCTCTACTTATTTCAACTGCCAGGCTTCTATGGGTAGATGATTTGTGATCCCTGAGTTATAGTGTCATCAATTCCTAGCCTTCAGAGTTGAGGCTTATTACATAAACCTCTCTAACCTTTAGCTCTGAATTCCTCATCAATTTAATGAGATCGATACCTTCCTCAAAGGAAAGCATGGAGATAAATAATCAGCATATTGCTGGGCACAGAACAAGCACTCAATATCTGATAGTTCTTATTATATCACTTTTAATAATGAAAGCTATTAATATGGGGGCATTTGACTTGTTAGATAGCCACACCCTCCTTAAACCCTCTCTTGAGGACCCAATAAAGGTTGACTGCAAGGTCCTGATTCAGTACATCGTATATTAAGGTCTTTGTGTAAGCAAATAATGTGAATTGAATATCTCAACCTTTATTCACCTATGTAACTACAAACTTCTACCATTCGCTAAGAACTGGGGTAATACAAGGACAAAGGATAAACATACCACACATTTACTGAATGCTTATTATGGACCTGGGTCACATAAGTGCTTTGCATACACTATCTTATTTCGTAATCACAAGAACTCAGCAATGATCTCCATTTTACAGAGGAGGAAACTGCCCAAAGTTTCTCAGCAAGTAACTGTCAGAGCCAGCACTAGATCCAGTCTGACTCCAGAGTCCAGGCTCTCAACACTGAATCCCAAAGAACTGGTGCCAGACTCCGTCTGTCATTCAGAAGAGCCACAAGGTAAAATCCCAACCCCAAGGGAACTGGCAGGAACGGGTCCAACCCAGCGCAGTAAAGACAGGTGCCTAGGCTGAGAGGCGAGCTCCAAGCTTGTACCTTTGCCGGCGGTGTCCGCGCGAGGCTTGGGGGCAGAGGGATCCATCTGGCCAGGGGGAGGGGCCGGGCAGCCTGGTTGCGTACAATACTCGGCAGGCGGCCGAGGACCTGGAGGAGGAGGCGGGCGGGAAGACTGAGGCCAACGCCACTTCCTGCAGCCCTTCGTACATCGCCCCCCTGAAGCGCGACGCCAGCAGACGAGAGGGAACACAGGTGGAGCCCGAGAGGGTCCAGGGAGAGGGGAGGCGGTGTCCCAGACAGCGGCAGAGCTGGAGAGCGCTGTGGAGGCTGGCAAGGCGGCGCTCACCCAGTCATCTCGCGTTCCGCCGGGGGAGGAAGCAAGCCGGCAAGCGGACCCTTTACCCTCCCTTTCACAGCTGCCCTACCTCTACCTTCCCCTGCAGCTTTCAGCCCTGGCTCGGAAAATCCCGCGAGATCGGGCCCCTGAACTGTCATTGCGGTCTCGCGATAACAAAATCTTGGTTCACATGGGCGGAGCAGTCTTCCTGCCATCTTGGCCCCGGGAAGCCGGTAACACAAAGGTCCGCGACCGTTGCAAGTATCGCGAAGTTTGATATCGCCTGCCTGCCGGGTGCGCGTCTTACGGACAACAGAGGGATCTGAAGATACCCGTGGGCTCGCACCTGCGGCAGTCTTTTAAGGGCTGACTTATAGCTGGAGACCGTGTCCGCGATCGCGGCCTACTGCTGGCTTATATTTAGTACCTCCTCGTGTTCCTTGTGTAGCGCATGCCCAGGAACTTGAGGCGAGTGACTCCCTCCTAGAGTGCTCAGCGGGTGAGACACCCGCCCGGAAGCCAACGCTTCACGACACTTGCGGGAGGCTGAGTACTTAGTGGTCACACACCAAAATATAGTCAAAAATAACTCTTGTGACTACAAACCAGCAATACATGCCATAAATAGAAGATAAAGGTAAAAATACTATGAAAATTTAAAGTGTCCGTGTACCATTTACAGTTAGAGTGGTTTGTGAGACATAATGGGAAAACACCAAGCAGGCGGTGGGGCTGTTTTTGTTAAAGCATCATCAGAACGACACACTACTCACAACTTAATGGATACTACTTTTCTAATACTTTGCCAGACCTTATACGTTGATTCATCCAAAAAAAATGGTTTCTCCACATGTTAAAATGTTTTCATGTACTGTAGGATATTTTATTGAACTAGATTTGCTTGAATGGGCCTGTATTGGTTTCCTATTGCTGCTGTAACAAATTACCACAAATTTTAGAGGCTTAGAACAGCACAAGAGTATTAGGAATAACACATTTATTATCGTACAGTTCTGTAAGTCAGAATTCTTACTTGGGTCTCATTAGGCTAAAATCAAGGAATCAGCTGGGCTGCATTCTTTTCTGGAAGCTCTCCAGCAGAATCCGTTTCCTTGCCTTTCTACACATTTCTTGGTTCATGGCCACCTTCTGTCTTCAAAGCCAGAGTTGTTGCCTCTCTCTGTGCCTTCCATAGTCACATCTTCCTCGGATTGCAGCTGGGTAAAATTCTTTGATCTTATGATCAGATTGAGTCTACCTGAATAATCCAGGATAATCTTCCCATTTGAAGGTCTGTACCCTCAATTATATCGCAAATTCCCTTTGCCAGGTATAGTAATATATTCATGGGTTCCAAGGATTAGGATGTGAACATCTTTAGGGGCTCATTATTCTACCTACCAAAGCGTCTAAATGAGGAAAGCTATGTCTATTTGCTGCCAATAGGTATCTATTCTTTGAGAAATACTAACAATTAGCAATACGTTTTCATAAAATCCATCTAGAATTTTACCATCAGGTAGAAACTTTGTATCTAAGAAAAACATCTAATTCACTCACTATGTGTGAGATATTGGCCCTAACACATGGTTGAGAAGTTACGTCATTTAACCTCATTGCTTCAGTGTCCTCACCCATGACAACAAAGAGGCAAGTAACAGTAACCTGCATGAAAAAGTGTTGTTGTAAGTATTAAATAGGATAAGTAAAACATCTAAAACAGTACCTGGTCGTAGGAAGGAATATGTGGATTGCTATTACTGTTGTTATCAATGGAATGCATCCACTTGTAAGTTGCATTCTACATAACCACTGCTTCATTTTAATATTTTGGCTAATAGTTGGTAGTACATTATTACTTAGATTAGAATTTTAGACTACATTCTAACTTAAAACACCATGGATTGTACGGCATATTATTTAGGTACAGCTGAAAAACAGAAAAAACTGCTCATTATATAAATTGTAACTCTTGATTTTTAACATGCATCCTGATACTGGAAATTTTTAAATGGAGGGAAAAAATCTGCTTCTTGGAATTGATGAAATATATCTTTTTTACTTAACTCTTTTCACGTTGTCTCCAAAATTAATGGCAATTAGAAATTTCAACCAAGCTTACTTTTTTCTTTTTACAGCTACCAAAAAGTTTGATTGTTTCCCCCCACTAAAATAACTCATTGTGTAATATTGTCTTATTTTTCCAGAGGTCTACTAATTTAAGACCTTGATTTTTTATTTTTTTAAGGGTTTTTTTTTTTTTTTGAGAGGGAGAGAGCATGAGGTGAGGGGGCAGAGGGAGAGGAAGAAGCAGGCTCCCCACTTAGCAGGGAGCCTGGCACCCTGAGCCAAAGGCAGACGCTTAACTGACTGAGCCACCCAGGCACCCCAAGACCTTGATCTTTAAGGGCTGACATCTAAATAGAAGTGATAAAACAAAATCAGAAGTAAATTTTTATTTAAATGAGAGAGGTCATCTGGTTGAAGGAATACTCTTGTGACTAACAGAGGAGGAGGGGGCCTCAATTTCTAAGTATTAATTATTTAACCTCACCAGCATGTTTATGATGCATAGTGAAGCAGAAAAAATCATGACATAAAAATATGTTTTAGTGAATTAGATGCCTCACAAAATTAGATATCCTTAAACATTCCTTCCCCCACTAACAGTTTTTGTCTAAGGCCATTGCAAGGACATCCTTGTCTAGGTGCTGCTGTTGTACACATCTAATACTGTAATGCTAATCACTGCAAAGTGAAATTGAAAGTCTTGCAAAATATTTGGGAATTCCTAAAGTCAATATAAATGATCTTGGATAACCAGAACATGTGCAAAACCATTGGCAAAGGAGAAGCTAGCAAAATTAAACTTATTAAAACTACAAAAAGAGAAGAAACACAGAGGATGATAGCATAGACATTTCTAAAGAATATTACTTGAATATCAAAGAGACCCTTGAGAAAAATGATTCTAATATTTTATCAAGGAAATTTTTTTGTGTTTGCAATGCAAAAATTAAATATATATCTATATGTTGTTCATAGACCTCCAAAGTTGTGTGTTACTTCAGCAGAAAAGCTCAAGAAAAAAAAATAGGTGTGTATTTCAGTTCATTTGGGCTGCTATAATAATACCACAGATTGGGTAGCTTATAAACAACAGAAATCTATTTCTCACAGTTCTAGAGGCTGGGGAATCCAAGATCAAGGCATCAGCATGGTTGTGTTCTGGTGAGACCCCTCTTCCTGATTCATAGCTGGCACCTTGGTATGTCATCATATATTGGAAGGGGTGAGAGAACTCTGTGGTATGTCTTTAAGAGTACTAATTTTATTCATGAGGGCTCCACATGTGTGTATGTCATCACTTTGGGCACTAGGATTTCAGCATATTAATTTTGAGGGGACACGAACATTCAGATCATAGCAATATGAGAACTTTGAACTTTGAAAATTTCTTAGATGATTTTAGGTTGTAGCATTTCTCCCTTAATAAAATGTCCCAGCCACTGTGTCAAGGGAAAGAAAGGAAGAATAGATGAGTAAGAGCAAGGTAGACATGGTAGAAATAGATGTGTCCTTTATCAATAAGTAATCTATAGAGTTTAAAAGGCAACATTATTCAACAATATGAATATACTTACCATTTCTGAACTGTACACTTAAAAATGATTAAGAAGGTAAGTTTTAAGTTTTCTCTGTGTGTGTTTTTTTACTACAATAAAAAAAAAAAAAACACCTGGGTCAACAAAAGGACAATTTAAAACTTGAGCCAAGTGTAGTGAAAGATACATAGTGAATGGCAGGTTAGTGCTAGGAATGTGATGATTGTTACATCTTGAACCTTCACCAATGCCATTTTTACTTAATAGACTCAGTGAAGAAATCTCAGAGGTCCTCAATCCAATGCTCTAACTTAAAGATAATAAGATAATTTGAGAAATGTTAGCTTATTTTACCAAGGTCACAAATAGCAAATAACAAAATCAGGATCAGAATACGATTCTTCATTCTTGTTCCAATATGATAGGTGTATAAAAATACTATTTCATAGAAGATATTTTTAAATTTGAAAAATTAAAACCTATGATTCTGTTTCTTGTACTATTCCATATCTCATGTCATGTAATAAGCCTAAAAATTCTGCAACAAAACACCAAGACCTGCAGGTTGAAATACTATTATAAAAACACCGAAAATGCATTGCTGAGCAAAAAAAGGTAAAATACTCATAGGCCAAAAATAAGGAGGAAACTGAAAACCAGCTTACTAAAACTGCTGTACTGGAGGCATTTGCCCATCTCAGTTACAGAAAGGTCTGAGTTTATCTGTCTTATGGGGACAGAAGACATGGCGTGAAGCTCTTACAAGGTCACAATTTGGAACTGAGACCCTCATTTGAAATCAGAAACCCTGAAAGCCAACATCCTTAGTGAAATTACTGGGTAGAAGAAAATCTGGAAAGCAGAAAAGGGGGAGGATGAAGAAGAGAGACTTGTCTGTCATGGCATGGGCACTTTGGGCCGGGTTATGTGTGTGTGTGTGTGTGTGTGTGTGTGTGAATGTCCTTTTACATTTTGAAACCACTACCATATCCTCAAATGGATTTAGGATTTGAATTCACATAACCTGTATGATCTAGGAAACCCCAAGCCAAGATAATAACGTAATGTAGTGTCAGGTTAATTGCATCCAGGTTGGAAGAAGGAAGCAAGCTCATCTTCTCTGAAGGAAAACATGTTAAAACAAAGATTCCTCAAAGTTTCCAGAGATAAATCCCAAACAGTTCATAATTCCCAAACTGTAAAAAAAAAAAAAAATGCATAAAACAAGCCACCATGAACAAAAGCCGGCAAGAAAAACATGCAACAGAAATAGACTCTTAGTGATTTCAGTTAACAGAAGTATTAGATACAAGTGTTTGTGTGTGATTAAAATATTTACCGATATATCTTGAAACTGAAAACATGGAAAGAAAAAAAGACACTGTCAGAAAACAGCAAATAGATTTGTTAAAAGAACCAGAACTTCTGGAAATGAAAACTTTAAATTACTGAAATTAAAAACTAAGGTAAGTTAAACAGCAGATTAAACACACCCTAATAGAGAACTCATGAACTGAAAGATCTAAAGAAATGACTCCCAACTGCAGAGCAGAAAGTCAAGTGGAGGGAAGCCTGGGTGGCTCAGTTGTTTAAGTGTCTGCCTTCAGCTCAGGTCATGATCCCAGGGTCCTGGGATCGAGTCCTGCATCGGGCTCCTTGCTCAGCAGGAAGCCTGCTTCTCCCTCTACCTGCCACTTCCCCCCTGCTTGTTCTCTCTCTCTCTCTTGATCTCTGACAAATAAATAAAATCTTTTATTAAAAAAAAGTCAAGTGGAAGGAAAATACAAAAGAAAGATTAAGAGAAATGGAAGGTAGAATTGAATTTCCAGAAGTAATGAATAGAGAGGCTGAGGGGGAAAAAAATGTTGAAAGAAATAATAGGTGAAATCTCAGATTCAGGAATCATAGTGAATTGAGTGTAATACAAAAAAATAAAATAAAAAAATAATTAAAAATAATAAAATAATAGTAATATTATATATATATCAGTATTTAGACACGTTGAAGTAAAATTACAGAAGCAACAAAGAATCTTTAAAGCAGCCATTAGAAAAGACAGATTACCTCTGTGGAATAGAATGACAATTTAACTGATAAAAGTTAACTGACAAGAGTTAATAGTAACAAAGTCAGAAGACAATGGAATAGTAACTTACAAGTGCAAAGAAAATAACTATCAACCTAAAATTTTATAATCAGCTAAACTATAATAGCAAAATATTTTCAGACAAAACTAAAAACATAACACCAGTGGACTCTCATGACAAGACCTTTTTAAGGATTTTGAACTAAAAAAAAGTGAAATGATCTGAAATGTAAGAATGATTAAGACTAACAAAATGAACAGATAACCATTGACTGTATAAAACTATAACGATGATATAATTTGGATATATAAAAAATAAAGGAAAATTAAAACACTGGACAGAAATAACTTAAAAATAACTTAAAAGAGAAATAATTTCCACTATGTGATAATAGTGGAAGACTTTAAGGTATTTGAGATATTTCTGTTGGAAAAGAGAAGAGATAACTTTTACTAAGCAGAGTATTCACATTAAGTGTCAGAGTATATGTAAACGGAATATTAAAGGAATGTGTAAGTTCTTAATAAAAATGCTAAGAATATAAACATCAGACAAAATAAGCTTTAATGTAAAATGCAGTAAGTGTAAAGAAATTAACCACATAAATGATAAAAGTCTTAGGTTGCCAGGGAGGTAAAAAGTTTTCAATTTATCAATGCTATTAACAGTTCCAAATATATGAAAGTTGTCAGAATTTCAAGGGGTAAATGATAAGTCCACAAACATGGTAGGAATTTTTAATATTCTTCACGGTAATTGTAAGACTAAGAAGAAAAGTAGAATTGAGCCACACAATTAGCAATCTTGGTCTAGTAGACATATATAGAATACTCCATTCTATTGTTAGAGAATAAACATCTTCACAAGCAAATAGGGAACATTCATAAAAATTGACCATGAATTGTGTCATAAAGCAATTCTCAACAGCTTTCCAGCAATCTGATTCATACAGATCATGTTCCCTGATCCCATGAATTAAGTTAGAAGTCAACATTTTTAAATTATTTTTAAAAGATTATATATTTGGAAATTTAGAAACACTTCTAAATAACTTAGGGGTCAGAGTTTTTAAAAAATCATGATGGAAATTAGAAAATAATTGTGAAGCAGAGTTAAAAATATGTTTTTAGGCTCTTTCAGCTTGAAGTCCTAAAATGGCAAACCTCATGTTTTAATGTAAGATAGTCTTCCATATGTTATTTCCAAAGGAAGTCACCAACATAGATTTTATGATCCTAACTCCTCATCTACATTAAGGATATAAAAGGGCTGGATGAGAGGGATTAGAGGATGGGAATGGGAGATTAGAAGAAGAGATTGATAAGGCTATTATAGTGCTAAGTCCCACACTTCAAGACAAGCAAGAGGCTTTAGGGGGATCACTTGGAAAGTTTAATATGCTTCCCCTGCAGTTTGTGGGACATGGTGGGCCATTTGCCTCAAACCTTAGAAATCTGAAGGACAAGTACTATGGCTGGCTAACTGCTCTGAGGTTGAGTAAGAAAAGTTGATGCATTGGGGGGCCACTGTACAAAGGATGACAAAAGGATGCACATTTCCCCTGGAGCAGATGTGGGTCTTAGGTGAGAGGAAGCCAGGAGTGACTTCAAGATGACCCTAATCAGGGACCTGGATAGCTGGATGCCTAGGGGTAAAGTACTGACTGAAGACCACAGTAAAGCGCCCTGTGAAAGATGTTTAAGGAGAGCCTATGCAACTTCATTATAGTTAAGTAAGACCTTTCCTGTTCCTTACTTATCTCCTTTTCCCAAGATTAATCCTGGAAAAGTCAGAAGCAGCCTAGTAAGTAGGGGAGGAAGGCAGAGACATAATTCTTATAAAAGAAGCAGTCATACCTGCTTTTTTCACTGCACACATCTCACCTGTAGCAGATATGAGCTCTGGTAGAGGAAGAACTTTAAGTTTGAATGAGTGTAGAAATCTTAATTTTAATATCCGTTGACTTAACTGCTAAACAGAGACTTTCTACTTATTTGTCTAGTCACTAGAAGCGACCACAAGATTTTTTATTGAGAAAGACCAAGAAGACTTATGTGATTTTGCCTAATTTCCTTTCAAGGTTATGGAGAAAAACTAGCCCTCAAAGTGGGTTTGAATGAACAGTGCAGCAAATAAATGAATTTCTATTCTAATTTCATCTAATGGGTTCTGTTGTTTCAACATCCATTAGGACTGAATAATAATAGAAATACTGCACATCAAAGTTAGTAAGAAATTAGTACTTAGGGAGTAAGAAAATGCTTATACTGAGAAGAAAAGCTGAATGATCTATACTTCCAATGTAAGTTACAAAAGAACAACTAGTCCTAAAGAAAATAGAAGAAAAATAATGAACAGAAATTAATGAAAGAGTAACAAAAAATACAATAGCAGTAATAAACAAAGTGAAAAGTTAATTCTGAAAAGAAAAATAAAGTAGGCAAACCACTGGTAAAATGCATCAAAAAAAGAGGAAAAAATACAAATAAACATTAGGAATGAAATATAGGGCAAAACTAAAGCCAATTCAAAGATTAGAAAAATATGGGAGTATACTCTAGGCAATTTCATGCCAAAATTTTAAAGGTATATTTCCTTAAAAATATGTCAAAAGGGAAAAGAGGCCCTGAATGAAATTATAACTGTTAAGAAATAACTTGAGTCAGTAGTTGAAAATGCCCGTCCAAGGAAAGACCAGATCCACATGGCTAGATAGGCAAATTCCACCAAATATTCAAGGGAAGAGATATATTCAGTATTATTTAAACTCTTCCAGAGAATAGAAGAAAAACTCTCCAGCTTATTTTATCGACTTAGTGAAATCTTGACAGCAAAATCTAATAAGGACAGTATGACAATTGAAAATTACAAGCCCACTGTAGTTATCATGACTGATGCAAAAATTCAAAATGAAATACTAGTGAATCAAATCTAACTTTGAATAACAACAACAATAATAATAATGCATCATGACCAAGTTAAGTTTATCTCAGGAATGCAAGTATAGTTTCAAATTGGAAAATCTAGTAGTGTAATTGATTAATAGATTAATGGAGAAAAATTCTAATATCATCTCAAGAGATGGAAAAATAATTTTATAATATTCAACCAAATATTAGCAAGATAGCAATAGAAGTAAATTTCCTTATTCCAAACCTGTGGGAAACACTAAATGGCAAAATGGTACACACATTCCTTTTAAAACCATGAACACAAAGATATCTCTTATCACCACATCTGTTCAACCTTGATCCTAGTCATTTCAATAATAAAACTAGATATAAATTATAGATATCAGGAAGAATCAAAACTGCTATTATTTAGGAAAAGATTCTGAGTAGATGGTGGAGTAGGAAGCACCCGGAATCTGTCTCCCCACCTAGGCAATAACTGAACTGGCAGAATCTGTCTAATGTAACTATTTTGAAACTCTAGTTTGTTGAACGCTTGCAACTTCCAAGGGGAAGACTTGGGACAGTGAATTGTGGTTAATTTTAAAAGGTCAATTTCAGGACGCTTGGGTGGCTCAGTTGGTTAAGCGACTGTCTTCGGCTCAGGTCATGATCCTGGAGTCCCGGGATCGAGTCCCACATCGGGCTCCCTGCTCAGCAGGGAGTCTGCTTCTCCCTCTGACCCTCTTCCCTCTCGTGCTCTCTATCT